GCGGTGAGCCAGGGGCCTAGGGCGGACGCCGGAGGCGCTGAGCGCCCTGCGCTCTGACTGCGGCCGGTGGGGAGCTCGCTGACCCCTGGAGGGTGTCGCCCCGACGTCGGGGACGCGATTTCCCAACTCCCCGGCCGCGGGGCGGGGCAGGATGGACGCCCGGCTCTGAGGAGCACCCCGTTTTGCCTGGATTTTCCTCCTCCGGTCCAGCTTCCCTGACCCCCTCAAGGGGAGACCTTGGGGTGCCTGGATGTGGGGGACGCTCCTGACGCGTTCAGGTCCTCACTGGCTCACTGCCTCTAGCCTGGCCATTCATTTTCCCTCTTGGCGAGACCAGAATTCCAGCCCCACCTCGGGCCCCCCACTTCTGGGGCCTGGCATCTGACTTTGCCCCGAGCCTCAGTTTACCCCGACAGACGGGCTTGGATGGGAGCGGGCTCGCTTTCCCGCAGGGTGCCGCAGGCGCCCGACCCCGCCACCGGAGAGGGGTCTGCGGCCTGCGCTGTGCCCAGCCGGCGCTGGTGGCATCGCCCAGGGTGGCGGTGCCCCGTTTTCCCCTGGCATTGGCTCAGGGCTGTGGGAGGGGCCGGGCCGCAGGAAGCCGCAGCCCCGTCTGGGCTTCTGCTGCGATGTCCAACGCGGGGCTACGCCCGCCCTTGGGGAGAAAGGGTCAGCGAGCAGTGGAGGAAATCCCCTCCCATCCTGCCCGAGCGCTTCCTGACGGCGAGGCACGGTGGCCGCCACCTCAGCGCCCCTCTCGGTGGGGTGGGGATGGCTCCCTGGGAGCTGCCCGGCGTGGCTGCCATCCGGGGCGCGCAGAGACCTGTCCTTCCCCCAGGGCCGAGTCGGGAGGGCCCTTGGCTTTGATCCTTTCCCTCCCAGCCTACTTCCGGGTGACAGGAGCAGCAGGTTCTGGAATGCTGCAGATCCAAGGCCCGAAGGCCAAGGCAGGTGAAGGCGAAGGCAGGTGCGTCTCGGTGAGGACTGGGGCTGGGCCACCAGCTCCCCAAGCCTCAGATTCTCCGCGTCTTAGCTGGCGCAGGCTCAGAAGACAGAGATCCTAAGGGGCTGGAGCGGAATGGGTCCACTGAGCCCAAGAGCAAGTGTCCTGATGAGTTAGGTTCTGATGCGGGCTGCCTGCAGAGACTGATGTGGACACACAGGGGTAGGAGCTTATGCAATAAATAGCTCAGACCTGGAGGAGTCCTTGTTCCACGCCAGGACTTCCAACCGGTTCATTCCGGTTCAATCACCTGCGGAGAGTTTGCCTGTCCACCTCATATGGACTGAATCACAATCCACATTATATAGATTCTGATTCAATCTCCCTGGGGTGGAAAAGCCAGTTCTCAGCAAGGGGTCAGCCTGGAAGGAGCCTGTTTGAAGCCCTGTTCCAAACTTCCTCTCCACCTCTCACCTTCTCCCTAGCATCCCCTGCGGGAGCCGAGCTGGGGGGCCTGCAGGGAGCATGGCCCAGCCCCCTGTGTGTTACGGGGAGAAGTGATTCTGGCTTGCGAAATATGAGTGGACCGAATGGATGACTCATCACAGCTGAACACCTAGAACAAGGCCAGGCAGGGGGTGCCATGCAGGGAGTAGGGTCCTCCTGTTCTCAGCATAGTGTAAACACCCCTGAGTAATCACCTTTGTCCTCACCAATATCCCCAACCCTGGGTGGAGGAAGATAGCTGGGTTATTGGGGTCCCTGAAAGAGTCCAATATTCCCGGTTTGATTCTCAGGCCCCAGAGACTTGTGCTTGACTTGTGCTTCTTCATTTGTCCATTGAGAAAACAAAATTCTTCCTCAGGCTCACCTTAGATGTGATGATAGAACTGAGCGAAGACTTTCTAGTGAATGGTTAGGTTGAATCCAGTAGGGGGACAGTGGCACCTCCAGGCCAAAGTGTGGAATTGCAGCCTCCCTCTGTAAGACAGGAGTTGGGATGGCTAATCTTAGAACTCTTAAGGAATCTTAGAACTCTTAAGGCAGTGGTTCTCAGCCTTCCTAACGCCAAGACCCTTTCATACAGTTCCTCATGTGGTGGGGACCCCCAGACTGTACAACTATTTTCGTTGCTACTTCACAACTGTAATTTTGCTACTGTTATGAATCGAGAGACCCCTGTGAGAGGGTCGTTTGACGCCCCCAAAGGGGTTGCGACCCACAGGTTGAGGACTGCTGTCTTATGGTCTAAACTCTAGATGAAGCCATGTTTTATAAAACATTATGATGAACTCGGGGTTTGAATGTTAGTGAGGGGTTCCAGAGAACAGAGAACAGTAAGCTACATGACGCAGGACATGAAGCAAGAGAATACACCCGTGGCGATGTATTGGAAATGTTATTCTCTGGACATGGATGCATAAAGGGAAGGGAGTCCACGTGAGGGTCTTGCAGCGAGTGGATGGTCTAGTAATGAATTTGCGATCTGGTGTCGGTCTGGGTCAGAGCCCCAACACTGCATCAGCTTTGTGACTTTGGGCAGGGTGCTTAACCCTCCTGCACATCCGATTCCTCACAGGTAAAGAGTAGGTAATAGGTCATCTCTACCTTGAAATGAAGTGTTGGGAAGTGAGCCCCGGCCTGCTTTTATACTCATTCCAGCTCCAAAGCGTCCCTTAGTGCTGTGCCCAGGAGGGCCTCGCACGATCCCTGGAAGCGGGCAGTAGGGTTCTGCTGGGCTGGGCGGTGAAAAATGTCCTCTGCCTTGTCAACTAAGGCCCAGAAGGCAGTGCCTGAGCACGAGGCCACCTTCCTCCCTTATTTCAGATGTCCCTGTCCTAGTGAGGATGTCTAGGCTGGTGCTGGGGGTTGAGGGGCAAAGATGTTCTTGGCAGTGGGGAGACACCACGAGACTTGTTAAAGGGCGGTTCATGGCAGTGGTCAGGAGAGTTTAGTGGGCTCTGAAACACACACACGCACATGCACACGCACACGCACACATCAACATCTCATCGAATCCTCACCTCGCCCCGTGGAGGACAGAAGGACAGGCTGTTCTCATTCCAGGTTTAGAGCTTAGGCACCGTGGCCCTTGGTCTGGCTGATGAGTCACTGTGCTTCCCCCGGGGGAGCTCACACATGGATTGGCCCTGAGGTTCCTTCTCCATCTCCATGTTCCTTTCCCCAGTGCAAAGCCTGGCCTTTATCTCACAGGCCGCTGACCTCAGGGGCAGAAGGAGGAGGTGGCAAGGTGCCGGGAGGACAGGAGGCGAGGTGAGCATCAGGTGCCATCCTTCTCCCAGCCCAGCTGCCCAGCTTGTCTCTGTGCCCAGCTGGTCTACAGGCCCAACTTAATCATACACGTGACTTTCTCAGGTGCATGCTGCCAAGACAGCCGTTCTTGCACATCACCTGGGTCCGGTGGCACCCACCTTGCAGACCAGGCCCTCGGGGTCTACATGTATCACAGTCTGACAAACAAGAGGAGCTCTGTGATTTTGGGGGTAGAGCATGTGTTCAAGTCCAGACTGTGGGGATTTGGACCCCTCTGCACAGAGAGGAGCATCTGGGAGTAGGAGCAGCGGTGCTGCCTGCTGCATGCCAGGCAGGCATGGTGGGACCCCAAGGCAGAGGAAGGTGATCTGTCTCCTCTTTCTGTCCTTCCCTCCTCCCTGTCCCTTCTTGACTCCAGGTGCCTTTGGAAGGTGGTAGAAGCAGAGCCTGCCTGTTAGAGCTGGGTATATCTTGGGGTGGCATCATTTCTCCCTATCTCAAGTCCACCCCCGTCCACGGCCATGGATTCTGGCCTACCTGAGACGCCCCTGACCACTCTCCTTGGCCCAGCACCCCTCTCCCCTAGGCCTTCCTTGAGAGGGGTGGCTCTGTACCTCCCACCCCGGGTTATGGAGCCCAGCCAGTCTGGTTTTGAACCTTGGCTCTTCCACTTACCAGCCAAGCCAGACCTTGGGCAAGGTCCCAAACCTGAGCCTCCGTCTCCTGGTCCCTGAAATGGGGACAACCCCACAGTGAGGGCCTCGGCCTGTGATGGACATGGATGGTGGTGAGGATTTCATGGGCGTAGACACAAGTGGAAACTTGGGAAATGAAGCACTTATGGTATGTGGTTTTTTAAGAACATGCCACAGGACACAACCACACCAGCACAGCAGACACCAGGGTTCCTGGGAACATGTTCTCCCTGAGAGCTTCCGGAGGCAGGAGCCAGGACCTCCGGGGCCTCCCTGCTCCATGAGGCTGCTCAAAGGGGGTTCGGGCGGCTGGGGAGGCTAGGGTTCAGGGCGTCTAGCCCCACCCACCTGTCTGTCTGTCAGGGCCGACAGCTGAGCAGCTTTTGCCTTTGCAGAGTGGTTCGCTGAGCTGTGGAGACAGGTTCTGGAAGAAGAGATCCCACGCCACCAATTCCAGGTATGAGCCAAGCCTTTCTGCCTCCATCTCTACCCCCTCCCTGACCAACTAACATCCTGGGTATTGCCTGGCTGCGGTTGCCATGGGCACCATATGCTGGCTCCAGGGTCAAGGTCTGCTGAGTCACTAGCAGCCCGGGGCCTGGGCAATGGGGCTCTGCCAACCCAGACAGGATCTGGCCCGCAGGTGAATGCCCAGGCAATGGGAGAACCATGGGCATGGATCCCATTGAGGACCCCAGACTCCATCTTCTAGGTGTTGTGTCCACCCACCCTAAGTCCAAAGGGCAGAGAAGGGCGTCCGAGGGGGAGAGGCTAGTGGGTGGTGGGTTTGTGAGATGTGTTAGGAACTGTGTGGTTCTACCACGTGGCCAGACTCCAGCTCACACGTGGCCGGGGCAGTCAGGACAGCCACTTCACCTCGAGAAGCCTCCGGCATGCAGGGCGTGCTCACTGCACCAGGGCCAACATCACTGATGGTTGTGATGGCAGGTGACCCTCTGGGTTTCTGTACATCTGTGAAGAGATGGCCAGCCTCTTCCATCGGTGTCTGATGAGGGCCCACCACCACCCCCAGACACAAACAGCTCCCCTCTATGTGTGCACCAGTGGGCCAGGTGACCTGGGTTCAAATGTGGCCCCTCCCACACGTTGATCGTGACCTTGGGCTGGTGGCCCTGCCTTTCTGACCCTCTGTGTCTTCTTCAGCAAAAGCTGCCTGATGGCAGCACCTACTC